ACGAATCGACAGTTTCTTCCAAGTTTTCGGATGGCATGAGGACACAGGACCTTGAGTTAAAAGCCTGCTATTTGCCACACGGTGGTTCCTAGTGTCTTGCAGCCGAGCACACACCGCAGGAGGAAGGCCTCCCTCTTGACTTTGCTGGCCACGTTTCCCATCAAGGCTGCAGAGGTGAGCCCCTTGGACACCCCGGGCCCTGGCTCCCCCCCATCCAGGTCCAGCAATGATCTGTTGGCTGAGCTGCTTGTCTGCTGAGTACTTCGTTCCTGCGCTGCTATTATAGGTCGCTTGTTGTTGAACCCGCCTGGCTGCAGGCAGCATCTTTCATCAAAGCCTTTTGAGAGACGAACCACGACCGTAGCCATGCTTGGGCGTGTACACACTGGCAGATCAACGCCAGACAAGCTTGGCGACCCATGGCCAAGAGATGAGCAAGGCAGCGTTGCAATAAGTTCTGTGAACTGCCTACGGCAAAGTGTGACAAGGGAAATCGACGTGGTTGCCAGGTTCCTCCTTGAACCTGGCAACCACGTCGATTTCCCTTGTCACACTTTTTGCCGAGGTATCACCAGCTGGTCCAGCGGTCACTGAGTCTGAGAGATCTGCCGCGCTGCACACCGTCAGCCCAAACAGCGCGTAGCCAACAGCCAGTGGATGAGGGCAACTGCAATCTTGGAGGCAGAGACAAAACTGTTTGGCGCGGCTTGCTTGCTGACTTGACATATTGCAAACTGTCAGTGCTTGTTTCTTCTGAATCTGATTTCTGTGTGTTGTGGCAAGTTGTGGCCATAGATGGTGGGCCATCCTTGCCCTCCCCCCCGCCCGGAACAAATCCTCCTCCCCCCCCCCCCCCCCCACCACCACCACACCACACACACACACACACACACACACACACACACACACACACGCACAGCTGCCCACCCACCCATGCAGCGTGTGCCCGAGGCTATGGATGCTGCCCTGCGCAGCCGTGACCCAGGTTTGCGAGGCGGCCAGATCTCCAACTAATGCATGTTGCCATGCTCTGTGCCATGTGTGGGAGATCCTTGCAGTGTTTTGCTGTGTGTGCCCGGTGCACTTCTGCAGTGTTTGCATCAATTTTGTAGCCCTTAGCAACTCCGGGTCTACAGCTTCCTGCTGCCATGCAGTGCCCCGTGTGCATGGAAGTCCTGAGCGGGCCCAGGCACTGGAGTCCAAGTCAGCGGGCACACAGTCAGCCCGTGATTGGCGACTTGTTTGGGTGCCGCAAGTGCAGGCATGCACCTCCGGCCGACTTTCTTCGCTCGTCATGGGGCAGCCTGGCGGATGCGTATCATGCCGTGCTGGATGTGGAGAGGAAGCTTATGGACAAGCGCATCAGATTTCTCAACGAAAACAAGGCTGCACTTCTCCCTGATCAGCACGACGCCTACCATGAGGATCTGAACGATGGCTATGGGAATGGGACCCTTACACACGCTGTGCTTATCTTGATTCCGGGCACGAGGGAGCTGATGTCCAACCCGGGCACGGTTGGACCCTACGTGGAAGCCGGCCTGGTGTGGCTGTCTAAGCGGCATCCCCGTGCCCATTCGCGAGTCAATGGATTTGTGGAGGCGTTCTATGCCTACTACTGCAAGCGCCAGCATGGGCCCGCCACCGCCATTCCCGATAGCGCGCTCCAGAGTTGGGACGAGCTGCTCCGGGAGGCCGAGGACTTCTTTGAGCGCTACGAGCAGTGACTCCCAAGTCATGTGGCGTTCATGGTCAAAAATACTGCATGACCCCAGAACTTAGCGTAGAAGCCAACAGTTGGAAACCCAATAGCCTCAATCCTTGAATGGGTGTACAGAATCCCAGCACTTGGCATCCTTAATCCAGTTTCCAACTTTTTGGGGTTTACTTTGAGTTACATTGTTCCCAATACCCACAGTACTAAGTGTAATTGGTCACGGAGTCATGCAGGATTTTGAATATGACAGCCATAGGCCGGCCCGGTCGCTAAAGCGGAATTATTCTGCTGTTCATGATCGCGAACACGCAGACATGGAATTTGACACCTGACAAACAGTCAGCGTCCTGTCCATCTTGTACAGCTTTGCCCGCATGCGTTTGGGCAATCTTTACCGTGCGCCCTGAGCCGGATGCGCTCATGAGGTTGCGTCAAATGAACCTCAAACGAAAGCCCTTTGTTAGTCGCAGAATTAGGCCCGAAGATACATTCAGTAACTAGCCCAAAGTCATTAAGTTAATTTTAATTTGAACCACCTTTTGAGTCACCTTGATTAAGCTCGGCTTTCACGCGATTGTTTTCAAAAGCCATTTGTATGTGTTCATCAGACAATAAATGAACTATCGAGTTCGGGGGAACCCAATAGAACTCAGAGTCAAAAGGTGGTTCAAATTAACTCCACTGGCGCATAACTTCATGTGCTGCTGCTGTTACCCTGCCAAAAACCCGGGTTTTCGAGGCGGCGGGATGTTGTGCATCGGGGTTTAGGGCTGGGAAATAAGATTTGCGTTAAGGCAGCAATCTGGAGATCCAGAGGACGTCAGCGGGCCATAGGTCTTACTTTCTGCCGCTTCTGCATACAATCCGGCTCGATTTGCTCGGAGCTTCTGGCTACTACAAAGCCCCAGCCCGTGAACACTATCAACAAGTCACCTGTCAGTCTAGCCCATGCCCTCGATCTGATTTATAAGACTCCCTCATGATGACTCTAGCGCGTGCTACGCGGATTTTCGTGATTGCTGCATGGCACGACGGGCTGGGCAACTAGCCTAGGCTTAGGAGTCTGAGGCACCTCAATGATGTCTGGAATTGCCGCTCTTTGGCACAGCTTTAATCGGCTGCCGTAGCTTGCCATCTGCCGGCCTGGCTCTGACATAATACAGCTTGCTTACTACCCCAGTTCCATACAAACAGTTTTTTGGCAGTTGGCAGCTAGCAGCCTTAATGCAATAACGGCCACTGCAAGACTTGCAGCGGCTGACAGGTTGACCGACTCAATCCTGTCGCCTGCTGCCCCACCGCGTGAGTGCTAAGAGTGAGAAAGGTGAGCTTGACCGTAAAACCCTCTCTAAAACCTGGAACTTGTGTGCTGGCGTGTGCTTGTGCGCTTGTGTGCTTATGTGCTTACTCGTGCGCTTGCTTTTTTTGCTTGACTGTTGACTGGTTGCTTGTGACTCGAAACCCTGAACCCCAAATCTTAATACACACATTTGACATGCCAAGATCTCTGTCTGTTAATCAGCCCCCGAACGCACAAGAAACTGCCAAGCAAAAGGGCAACAAGCAAAACAGCAGAACGCAGCACAACACAACAGACCAGGAGACATACAACAAACAACCAAGAATCACCACAAATAAGCACAGCGTATATCGAATTTGACGTACATACAGTGACACATGACATACAAACAAACATACATGCATGCAAGCATGCACACATGGCATACATGCAGACAATAACAATACGCGTAATACATTCAATTTGTAAACACTGAGATTATTCACATCAAGAACATGCATGACACACTCTGTCACACGTGCACACACTTTTGCAGGGTGTTCAGGGTCTATGGGTTATGTAGGGATTGCAGGGTCCCCCTATGCCCTTAACAATGACCTCTTCCTCAAGGCTCAAACCTAAACCCTAAACCCCGCTGGTGTCAGGGCCATCCCCATTCACCATACGGTGACCATACGTTCAGGGTGTTCAGCGTCGATTGATTATAATAATGATGTTTACTGATTGTTTTTGCTGTCTGTAGCCCCAACTGTTTAGAGTGTCACTCTGTGTTCAAGCTTTGAATCGCAGGCTTGCAGCAAGGCCAAGAAGGAGCAGACGGCATGTGGCACAATCATGCAGTGCTTGATGTCTCCACACGGTTGTTTTACTCGTGCAGTTTGTCCCCTGTTGAGCTGCCAGGTGTGTGAGTACAACAAGTCGTCATGCAAATCTTACATGAATGCTTCTGAATGTACAGCAACAAGACAGGACAAGCAAAACAGGACAGGTGTGCAATAATCGTATTGAATTAGTTAGGGCCAAGTTTAGTAGTGCGTACGAGGTTTTGCTTGTCAGTAGTTCTTGGACGGGCAAGAAAAGCCTTTGCTATGATGTGCGGTCGAAAACACACCAGATGACGTGAATATGTGTTTTCATTGTTCTTCGCTACTTACTTGATACATCCTGCGGACTAGCCGCGGATGTGAGATTTTGTCCAGCGGGCAGCTTTGGTCCTGCGGGCGAGCTAGCCGCGCGTTTGAGAGTTTGTATTGCAGGCAGTCTGTGTGTGCATTTTGCTGAGCTGGTGTTGCTGTGTTGGTGCTGAACTGGTTGTTTGCTGATTGACGGTTGCTGTCTTGCCCGCTTCCCAAACGCTAGACATGTCATGTGGTCGGGCTGCTGCACGTTGCTGCTGAAGCTTGCTAACCCTAGTTGTGCCATAATTAAAGGCCTAAAATGTTAACTCTAACCGAGACCCGAGCCAGGTATGCGAGCGCCATGCAAATTCGAAGACAGCACAAGCACAGCAACAAGACAGCACAAACGCCACAAGCACACGACAACCAAGTCTTCAAGAAAGGTGTAGGGTTTAGGGGAGTAGGGTTGGACGTTTGAAACCGCAGGGTCTTGGGCTTAAAACTGAACTACCTCACATGTTTTTCGAATCTATACCCATCCTAAACACTTAGACTTGTTTTGTGATGGATTTTTTGCATTGCTTGCGCGGACCATACATATATAATATATAAATCCGTTACTTCCACCTGAAAAACAAACATCCGGTTAGCTTTTGGGAAACATCTGATTTCGGCCGTGCTGGTTTATTTGTAAACGTAGTTAACATCCATGTCGATAAGGCCGTCATTGCCTTGGAAAGGGTTCTGCTCATCAACGCTTGCTCTCGACGCTGCGGAAGGCTCTTCAGAATTGCCGGATGCTTGTGGTCCCTTGACTCGTCGCCGCCGAGAGCGAACTTCTCCTACAGGAGATTGCTCGGGCAAGTCAGTGACTTGAGAAAGTTGCCCAAGCGGCTTTTTTCTCAAGCGCCTCCAATAGCTGTCGAGCGCAATCCTCGTGCTTCTCCAGTTTCGTCTTGAAGCCCAGCCATTCGCTGATTCTGTGTTGTTGCTGCACAGTTTTCTTGCCTTTTCCGCTTCTGAGCCTGTCCAAGACCGTTGTGTAAAAGACGTTAAGAAGCTCGGCATTGGCGCTTCTGCTAGGATCCCTTTCAACGACTTCCCACAGTCTGGCAGCATTCAAACACTCATTGATTTTGGTAGCCTCTTCCTGGCACTGCACCTGCAGAACGTCTTCAATGTTGTTTTCGCAGGGTATAAATGGAATGAAGTGCTCAGTGTCCGGCTTTGAGTCAGCAGGAAGAAGATACTCTGCCTTCTCCAGGTCAGCCCACTGTTCTTTCGGAGCACCTATTTTGGAGGCCGAAAATCGCTGCCACCAAACTTTGGTCAGATGCCGCTTCCTGCCCCCATCTGGCTTGGATGTGGCCAGGCCCAAACAGAATGCCACAGTGCGCTGCAGGCTTTTCAGGAGTGGATCCTGTTGAAGGGCAGCTTGTTTCATTTCATCTTCCTTCTGGGCGGCTTCTCTTTGCTCAAGCTGACACACAAGCTCGGAGCGCATGGGGTTTCCGTCGCGATCCTGCACGCAGCGGTCAATTAATTTTTACATAGCTGTGCAATTCTACTTGGACCCAAGCAAGGACTTAAACACAAAACGGAAAACTAAGCAGCATGACTGCTTGACGTCCTCGGGCGGAGGCAGTCCGCAAGCCTCGCGCACCTTCTTTTCCGTGAGGCCACTCGTGGCATAGTTCTCGATCATGTGAAAGCACTCATCCCTGGAATAGTGGGTCTCAAACCCGTGCTGCAGTTCTAAGGCCACGGCGATGGCAGGTCCGCTTTCTAACCAAGCTCTCAAAGAAGGATCCTTCTTGAAAATGCCGTCAGCATCTGGATCATCGTAATCCTTGCCGAAGTTGGTGTCATCCACGAATATCGGCAAGGGCTGCCAAACCAGGCAACGCCGATAGATGGAATTAAAGTTGGCCTCCATGACATTTCTGAATGTAATGATCTTGTTGGTCTCGAAACGCTTCAATCCTCTGACACGGCGCATGCGCGTTACAAAGCCATAAGGCTTTCTTGCAGCTAGATCGTCCGCTGACATGAGCTTTTTGAAGAGGTCCTGCTGAAAATGGCGGTGGGTTTCTGGTGCCTCCTGCGCCGTTATGATCCAGCAGTGAGCAAACTGCTCCAACTGCTTCCGCAACTCGTCCTCATTGTGGAATAAGTTCGGATCAATGTAAGCGTGATTGTGCGAGTAAACGGCCGCGAGGTGGGCGCTGAAAAGTGATTGGCCGGTTCCACCGGGTGACTCGCCGATGAAGCAGCGGTCCACATTTTCGCCTCTTTTTGCTAGCGCAATTCCTGCCAGAGTGCATTTGTAATACTCCTGGTTGCACCAAAAAGTTTCTTTGATGAATTTCTGCATTCGAGTTCGTGCATCGCTTAGCACAGGATCGCTGAAGGAACTTTTCAGAGGGAACGCGATGCGCACGTAGACGTTGTTGAGTGGAGAAGGAGGCACCAGCTTCACGTGCTCTTCGCGACTGACGTCGTAAAGAACAGTGTAATCCTGATACGCGCATCCAGGTTGCCTCTCTGAGGGCGAGTCGCACCACGCTGCCACATACTGGAGAAGCCGTCCTTGTTGCAACGCGTTACAAACATTCATTAAAGGTGATTGAGGTTAGAGAACAAACAAAAGAAAGAACCTGGGTAAACATTAGCACACTGCTAAGCCTCACAATGCAGTAAGGTTAATTCACCTCCAGAATCTTTCTTCCAGGAGATCCTTCTGCAGCGGCGCAATAATTTTGCTAAGCATTTCAGCTGCTTTGTCCGGCCATGATCGTCCGGAGGGGGCATCACCCTCTTGTCCTCCGCGTCCTCGACGAGGACGTGTGTAGTCTGCAGTCAAAGCTTCATCTTCGCACGCGTGAAGCATCTCTGCGATGTTGTTGAACTGAGACAACACAGTGTGGACTTCCTGCAAGACACTTTCGTCTGTGCGGCGTGTGGCAGCCGACAAATGCCGAAACAGGCCTTCCAGTTTCAACAAAAACTTTCTTAATCTGAAGAAAGTCGATTCTGGAGGAATTCCTGTGTAAGCCTCGAAAGCACCATCCATGTGGTAGAGGTAACAGACGCCTTGGTGCGCGCGAATGTAGCGCTCTCCCTCCATAATCCACACCAGCCCCACGAAATCTCGCACGAAAATATCAGACAGGCGAGTTCTGTACACATTGATAGCTGAGGCTGCCAGTCGGACCAAGTCTTCCTCCCAAGTTGGATGCCGCCTTCGCACAAAGTCCAAATGCCGCTTGGCCTGCAGTTGGATCGACCCAGAGTTAAGATCATGAGGCAACTCAGGTCGATTGGCCAAGGATGCATCGCAAGCTTCAGTGGCAACGGTAAACAAGTGATCGAAATCCGCTGAGGTCGAGGATGCGCCAGGGAGCAGTCGCCGCTTCTTTGCGTTATCCAGCGCCGCAGGAGGAACAGCCGCCTGAATAGCTAAAGACTGTTCTTCTGCTTCGTCCCCCACTTGCGATTCTCTTTGGACAAGCAAAGCGTCGCCTGGCTCCCCGCCTGATACGTCAGGCATCTCTTGATCCAGCTGACGCAAGGCTTCTTCTTGCATAGCGATATCCTCATCAATCTGCCTCTCAAATGATGAATTAGACAAAGCATCACCAACTTGCGAGGAACCACCGGAAGCATCCTGCCAGTTTGTCGCACTGCGACGAGCCTGTAGCATCGCAACCACTTCTGCAGACATGTCAGGGACCTGATCTATGAAAGGGTTTGTGTTGTCTGGATGGAAGCAAACCACAAACATTTGCGACACGCGCACGTCATAGTGCTCTTGGAGAATGTGTTTGTACAAATTCAGTTGCACTCTATAATGCCATCCGGCGCAGTCAGGAATGTGCGACAGAGGAGCTCTCATGGACTGCCACGGGTTGGTGTACTTCGAATGAAGCTGCTTCGTTCTTTTCCAATCAAAAAGAATGAGGCTGTTGTCCGACGACTTTGCCACGAAATCAATACAGCCGGCAAGTCTCTCCTTCTCTGAAAAGACGCACCATTCTGTGCGAAATGCGATAAGAGGCAGCGAAAATTCTCGCAAAAAGCGAGAGAATAGATGCATCTCAGGCCATGTACCAGCCACAGAGCCGGCGTTGAGCAAAACTTCGAACTGAAGGTGCATCCACGTGCCTCGGTTTGCAGCCTCCACGCCATTGTGTTTCCACATTTCCTTGATCAGTTCATCGCTCAGAGGCTCCAATCGTTCTTCCACCCTGGCGGAATACTCCGGTCTTGGCCAACGACGAGACTGCTTCATCATGGCAATCGCCTTGTCGGCGTCAAAATCCTCCACGAAAAGATGAACCAAGCCAGTCACAGACAGAGGAATCTTTTCTCCATCAACATAGTACGTGTGACTGCTCGCAAGGAAGGAAGCGCGAGAGTCTCTGGTGTGCTGATGGGCGTTAGATAATAGTTTGCACTGCACTTCCGGACACCGCAAGTTCATCCAATCATCAGGAATGACGTCCAAGGTCGGAAGTTCGATGTCTCGGAAGCTGAAGGCGGGCAATCGAATTAAAGAAGTGCTAGGTCCGTATGTCGGACAGCAAAACGGACTAAAGCTTCTTTGCCAAAGCAGGTCATTGTCGGCAACTGCAGAAGCGGATTCATGCCGCATGCCTTCTTGCCGTCGACGAAGAGCTTCTGCACGGTGGCAACTCAACCGAAACCATTGCGCGTGGCTCATGGATTGGACGTTCTGGGCTCCTCCTTGATCTTCTGTCCAGTGTTTGCGAAGAGAAGCTTCGTGGCTTCGCTGCTGCTGTTGAGAGACCAATTGTAGGTGCAGTTGCACTCCACTTTCCAAAGCCATGCAGCGCCATACATCCTCGAAGCTTTCGAAATCCTTCGGATGCGGAAGACCATCCAAGGGATTCGCGCTGTTTCTGGAAAGATGCTCGCCTTCTGCGTGCAGAAACCTGAAAAGGAGTAGATCCTGCCGCTGATCGAGAAGACCCATCATAGCTCGTGCCCGAAACAGCGTACGCTCCCAGACACGCTTACTCATCTCAGATCGTTGTTGCGGATCCGGAAGAAGCTGCAGCACCAAAGGCATTTTGTCCACCAGGTTTGCATTCTGTCTCAGGATTTTCGAGACAACACAGGTAAACTTGTCACTTTGTTCATGCTGCTCTTCAAGTCGACTCCAGAAATCATGAGCCGTGATGTACGGCGCCTCAAAGTTGGAAGCACCACCGACGTAGTCTTCCAGGCGATTGGGACAGCTAGGGCACAAGCGCCACCGAGTGTCTCGCACATGTTCAGAACACACGCACGTGCAGCAGAAAGGGCACATGTGCCATCGAGGCAGAAGTAAGGTGTGAGCGCGACTGCAAATTGCACAGGTGATGCTCGCGATGCGCGAGACAGCCGAGGGAATTGGTCGATATTGAATTGCTGGCACGATGTTTGCAACTGGCCGAACGAATGTCCAAACGAATAGCTTGGCCAAAGAACCCGGCAGTTCAGGACCTCCTTGTTGCGCAGGTCGAACCTTTGAAATTCCGACACCGTCCACAAACAGCTCAAAAACCGTAGGATTCCACCGAATAGAGAAACGATGGGATTGCTGTGGTCGTAATGCGAGAACACGACCAGGATGAGGCTGAGGAGGGCTGTCTCCGGTGCCGAAAGACACTCTGACTTCGTCCGTGAAGACGTCGTCGATACGGCAGTACACCTGTGTGCGAGCACGCCAATGCGACCAGTCGCGGACGCCGATGTGCATGCCAAAGAGAGTCTCCGGCATAATCAAGTCGAAGGTGGCGCATCCCATGAGCGGCAGAACACTTTCAAATCCAGCCATGTTTTGCAAAGCGCCAGGACCTCCGATCACCCATCTGCCCTGCCATTGAAGAAACAAATTGTTCGGAAACATTGGCAACATGACCAGCTGACGAACGTCAATCGTCACCGAGCGAGCCGACATGTATGCCTCCATCATCCACCGCAAAGTTTGAGTGTCGTGAAACTCTGCACTGTTCAGACAAATTGCCTTGTCCTGCCATCGCCGTCGGTCGCGAACAGCATGCAGCATGCGTTTGGAGGCGCACGCAAGACTCTTGAGGTACGCGAAGGAGAAAAAAAATGTCGGCAGATTGTAGAGTGTCTCGTCCAACACACTGCCACCCCAAAATAAGTCCCAATCATCCATGACACCATTCGAATTCTGTTCTGAAAGCTGCCCGGCATGAAAGTTGGAGGCACCACCGACGTAGTCTTCCAGGCGATTCGGACAGCGAGGACACAAGCGCCACCGATTCTGTCGCACATGCCCGGAACACACCCACGTGCAGCAGGAAGGGCAAACGTGCCATCGAGGCAGAAACAGGGTGTGACTGCGACTGCAAATTGCGCACATGATGTTCGCACTGCGCGACACAGCTGAGGGAATTGGTCGATACTGAATTGCTGGCACAATGTTTGCAACTGGCCGAACGAATGTCCAAACGAATAGCTTGGCCAAAGCATCTGGAAGCTCAGGACCTCCTTGTTGCGCAGGTTGAACAGTTGAAATTCCGACGCCGTCCACAAACAACTCAAAAACCGTGGCATCCCACCGTATAGAGAATCGATGGGACTGCTTGGGTCGGAATGCGAGAACACGGCCAGGATGAGGCTGAGGAGGGCTGTCCCCGGTGCCGAAAGACACTGTTACTTCGTCCGTGAAGATGTTGTCGATACGGTAGTACGCCTGTGTATGAGCACGCCAATCCGACCAGTCGCGGAGGCCGATGTACATGCCAACGAGATTCTCCGGCAAAATCAAGTCGAAGGTGGCCCGCCCCATCAGCGGCAGAGCACTTTCGAATCCAGCCATGTTGTGCAAAGCGCCAGGACCTCCGATTACCCGTCTGCCCTGCCATTGAAGAAATAAATTGTCCGGAAACATTGGCAACATGGCCAGCTGACGAACGTCAATCGTCACCGAGCGAGCGGTCATGTATGCGTTCGTCATCCACCGCAAAGTTTGACTATCGCGGAACTCCGCACTGTTCAGGCAGATTGCCTTGTCCTGCCATCTCCGTCGGTCGCGAACAGCATGCAGCATGCGTTTGGAGGCGCATGCAAGATTCTTGAGGTACGCGAAGGAGAAAAAAAAAGTCGGCAGATTGTAGAGTGTCTCGTCCAACACACTGCCACCCCAAGATAAGTCCCAATCATCTTCGCCACTGAGCCCATCGCCTGAGACGCAAGAGCGAAGACATGCGGCGATCAGCAAGACGAACTTAACACACACCCGCGCACGATGACCACGATAAGAATAAGAAGGTTAAGGCGCTAGGGCTACCTCACCTTGCAAGAGTATCGCGCCACATGGCACTTACTGAGCAAGATCCGACTAAAGACAAGTAAACGACGACCGTCTTCAAGATCAAGGGTTGAGGTAACCCTTTGCCTTCCGACAGCGTGCCATCGTTTCGGAGAATGATCTGGTGGATGAGGTCGTCGCACCACGATGGAACGGGACATCCGGGTAGATGGAACTCGTCGTCTTGGTGTCCTGAATGGGATAAACTGACGTCAAGCACACCAGGAGCATCCTACAGGTCAAGGGCTGGAGTTACTTTTTCTCCTTCCAACAGCTTGCCATCGTTTCGGAGAATGATCTGGTGGATGAGGTCGTCGCACCACGATGGAACGGGACATCCGGGTAGATGGAACTCGTCGTCTTGGTGTCCTGAATGGGATAAACTGACGTCAAGCACACCGGGGCATCCTACAGGTCAAGGGCTGGAGTTACTTTTTCTCCTTCCAACAGCGTGCCATCGTTTCGAAGAATGATCTGGTCGATCAGATCGTTGCCTGGACATAGACAATAAAAGCTAACAAGCAGTCATCGTGATTTGAAAGGGTTTCACAGTCTACTTCTTCTTATCGCTATAATTGCAATCGAGCTGCACCACGTCGGCGCAGCCAAAACTCGAACTGGTACGGGGGCAGCAAGAATTGTGTTTGAATCAGCGTTTGCCTGGGCGCTCAGAAGCTCCTCTGAGAACTCCCAGAACCCAGATTCTTCATCGGAATCTAGAGGCTCTCGGCGAGGCATCAGAGCGTCGTTCCTGGGGGGATAATCCGAAAACTCCGAGCACAATGACGATGTGTCGGAAGCGTCGGAGTCGTCCTGGTTGAAATCAAGTTCATCTTCCTGTGGCGGGTGCTGAAATTGCATGGCCTCCCAGACCTCAATGAATTCTTGAGCATATTCTTCCACAGCCTTGCCACCGACACTGTCCATGTATTCTGGCCCGTCGGCGCAACTCGTACTTGCATCATCGGAGATAATCTGGAAGCATCTTTCAAGTCGTCTTGGATCCAAAATATACGAGCCTTCCAAGTCGCGGACCATCGGACCAGAACAATCGTGTTCCCTAGCACACAGCTGTTTCCACTGGTGTGTTCGGCAGCCCAAGTTCACCTGCAAGCCGTCACCCTTTCGATTTCTAACCGCCACAAAGTGCGCATGAAAAAGAACGAGATAGTCGCCGGGCTGGAGCGTCACATCGGAGAAGTCGCAAGGCCCAATTGTCTTCCTGCCAGAATTACAGTTTGCACACACGATTGTTGACAGAACTGTCCTTTTTAAAGAAAACTTTGAATGGAAATTAATCTTTTGCAGATGGCGCGAGCGCCGTTAGTTATCTTTCTCAACACTGTCCCGAGAGGGTGAAGCCAATTCATGCCATCCCTGATCTGAAAGGGCCCATCTCCAGCATAAGAAATCTTGTTGCCCAGCGCACGCAGTGCGTCGATCAGGCAGCAGTCTGTAAATTTGCTCGGGATTTTCCGGTATCCCGGCGCACGGGCGTTCGGAAGCTGCTTCCCATTCATTGCCGCGTTGTTGCCGTCGATTCGAGCCTGCAGCTGCTGCTTCAACCTGTCAGAAGGCTTCCGCAAATCCACGGCTAAAGATCCTGACACTGGCGCAGATCTCCGCTTGACACCGTCACCTGAGATGCTGATCACACTGAAGACCTTCACATTCACTACTACCTCCATTTTGTAAGAGACAAGAGACTGCTGTGGCGCGCCGCTTCCGGCAAGGTCTGATGCCGGAATTTCTCCGACATGTTTCGCAAGCGAATCTTGGGCACCAAGGCTTGCATGAACTTGTCGCCTTGCAGAGTCAGCAGCATTGTTAAAACTTAATACGCTGGGTGAAGACAGCCAAGAAACTCCACGTGGCTCGGTACTCATTTCCAATGACTTGCTTCAGACCGAAATGCGCGTTTTTCCCTTAGATGTTGGTTCTTGCAAACTGCAGCTGTAGATGATTGACATCCGACAGCATGAAATGATAATATCAATAATTTATACTGCAAATTCATAAAGGCTCAACTTGTCTCACCATCCAGCGGTGAGGATTCACAAAGCAAGGCCCTCCTCCTGTCCTCTCGCCGAACAACGTTGTCCACCAGGGTGCTGCCTGTGCTTCAAGACTGTGTCTTCCTACGCCTGACAAAAGAGCAAAACACTTCTCAGTTCTAAGCAAGCTGCACCACGAGGGTGTGCTGTGGTTGGGCAAGCCATACCATGTCTCGTCGAAGATACCAGCCTCATCGTCTATGTGTCATGCGCAAAAGCTTTGTCAAGCTGCTAACATGCTGCCGAGATGCGGCCTGTTGCATACGTGTCTGCATGCTCTCGATCAAAATGTTGCCTGGGCGATGCTTAATTTCAAGCTTGCTGTAAAAAAAACTGCCGCAGCGAATGAAATCACAACCGTAAGAAGATGTCCAGATGCACCAGCCCGGTGTACGGTGGCACGGCATGTCGTACACGGACGAAAGAGGCTCTTCGGGCTTGGTGTCAACGGGCTTTGGGTCCTTTGTCCTGCAGCAAGTGCACTTATGTACTCATTGTTTAGAATCCGCACGCAGTTCAGTTTTCAACACATGAGTCTTCCGTCCTCATCCAAGGATGCTTCGAAGCGCCCGGGTTTCGATTCTTTGTCTTGTTTCCTAGAAGCCACTCCCGCCTGGAGTAATACCCTAATGCCGTTGGCCCCTTGCCCAAACGATATGGAGGATCAGCGCGAGTGTCAGAAACGACAACCCCTTTCTTGCTTTTGCCTCCGAAGTGCGGCGTCAGACGCAGAGCCTTACTATTTGACATCCTCTTGAAGAAGAGTCCCGGGCAAACGTTACAAAGAGGCGTCAATGTCGCCCACTGAGTCGGGCTGTTTGAAGAACGCAAGGACGAGGACGCTGACAAAGACTCCAAGGAGGTGCCACAACCTGTTTATGCTGCGAAGGCATTTTGACAGCGCGTCAAGTGCAATGTCCACATGCAGTCATCACTGCAACAAGATACCTTCATTCTGGAAGCTCCTCGGAGGAAACTGCGCTCGCACATTGGGCCTGCCAAAGTACAGAATTCAGCGAACGATTATATTTTAGCTCGCTGATTATTTCGAGTTGCTGCTCGGAAGCCTTCCACGCTGCGCCAGCAAGCAGACGGCTCGGCCGCTAGCCACTGACATTGCCTTTTTCTCCGCAAGGCCTTCCGCGACATACATACTCCCAAAATATCCGAAACCGAGCACTGCAGGCAACTCACCTATGGGGTCGTAGATCAAGGACGTGGAGGCAACGATCTTCTTGAGGAACGGCCTCATAAAGGATCGTCGCGAAAATGCTAAGTAAATGACAGGTCACATCAAATTACAACTCATAAGTTTCCAGGCTGCCAAATAGCAGAAACAGCATCGGCGATGCAAGGTTTTACAGTTAGATAAGTGCCAAGAAACTTCTGGGCAAAGAGCAGAACAATGGCTTGGCCGGTTGCCACAGCATGTGGGCTTATCTCGGCCTCGCCTTGCCGGGCGACGCAAAAGAGAACCGTTGTGGTTTAAAACCATGCAAGTACCAGGTGTTATCCACAGCAGGAGGCCAGCCTATGGGGTCAAAACCCAGCGAAAGAGACGATGAACTCATCGAGTGAGACGACGAAGTCATCCTCCTTAACGGAAGCGTTTAAATCATCAAACTGAGATCGAAATACATTGCTGTCAAGAAAAAGCACAGGCTCTGGCCAAACAAAAGGTGAAGAAAAGCGCGCTGAGATATGGATCGCTGATGCTCAAGCCGAAACTACACGACAGACTACTTTCTAAAATATGGAGTGTTGCACTCACGCAGATCTAAGGGCTCATGATGCGCAATCATGATGTAACCGCAACATGATCCTTGTGCAAGAATAGCACGCTCAGCTGCATCAAATAATCGTGTGTTTTTCCGATGAAGCGTGAGGAGCCTGCAGTCTCACAGTGCTCGCTCCGCCTCGTTGCAAATCTGAAATTTTGAAACTTTTAAATCTGCACGGGTGAACTCTGGCCCCTAGGGCTTTGTAGGAATTTTAGCTCCTGAGACTCCGTAAAGAAATCTTGGTCCCCGATACTCTGTGAAACAAATATAGCACCTGGCACACTGCAGGAAATCGGGCATCCGAAGTCTGTCCTAGTGGACCTTGCCACGCTAACAATCTGGATTGCTTATTCTTTTGTATTGAGTGGTTCTGTCTGTCTGACGTGTACACTTTAAAACTCTGTACGCCGAGCCCTGGCGGCTGAGACTTTGTAAGATCCCTGAGCCCTGGGACATTGTAGGAATTGGAACCCCTGTGACCCTGGGAGTTCGGGTGCCATTTTATATTTTGACGCAACCCGAAACATGTAGACTGTCATGAATTTCAAGCTTTCAAGAAGGCATATAATATATATATATATATATAATATATACATATACATATCTACATATATGGTTTAAGTTTTAACAGTTAAATTTAAGAACGCCAGTTAATTTTTAAAGAGAGCTGTGGTCGTCTCATTGATCCGCACACGTGCAGGAGCTGCAGTTGTAAAGTAGGATTAACCGGAGCTGGAGCTCGGTTTCAGAGTCTGCCGAAGCCTGTATGTAGGCATAAACTAGAAACGTGGAGCTAAAGCTCGAAACTAGAAACTGCAAAACCTTTACCCGTAAACTAGAAACTGACGGGAATAATTATAGCGTCAACACACGGACTGCAGGCCCTGTAGCAGAAAACCCACTA